TTAGATCATAGCAGCATTCAAATATGATAGTCAAGACTACCAAGGTTTTGGTAAAATTAGTGCAATAATGCATTACCAGATAACACTGTCCACTACCGTGATCCTCATGGAAAGCAATTTGACAATTGAATCAAGAACCAAGTTTCCCAGTAATTTCATTTTGGAGACTCTAAAGAAAATTATCCAAAAGATGAAGGGTGAGGTGAGCACAAAAATGTCGACACTGAATGATTTATTATAGTCAGAAACTGCCCATCCTGGTCAGGCTTCATCTTCCAGAAGCCTGAACAGGAACCAGAAGAAGGTGTCACTTAACACTGAAAATAGCATCTAGCAGATGCTGCAATACCTGAGAAAAATGCTGAATTAAAAAGCAAGACTGATATCCAACCCCTACTGTGTGAGGCATCTAGGTGATCCCTCTGAGTGACCCTATACAGACAGTGACCAGCAGGCAGGTATGTATACCATCAGAGGAAGTGAGGAAGTAGTCAGGCAAAACCACAGTTCCTGTGAAAGGGACGTGCCCTTCCATTCCTACCATTAGCAGTGGAGGTGCACGTAAGCTTAATGAGATGGCGATTGCTCTAGGTACGAATCTGAAAAGCTCTGTTAGGCTTTTGACCTATGATTAAGGAACAATAAAATGAAGGTGGCCATGAGACATTGTCTAGTTTGGCTGTTCATGGAGGAATGGGTTTTACTGATGAAKAGCTGGAGGGGGGATCAACAGTTGCACTCCAAGGGATGATATCTCCCATTTTTTGAGGGGGACACACAAGTTTTATAACTATATAACTATATAAGGGAAAGTCTTAGGAAGATAAATCCAAATTAAAACCTCCTGAGGGGCATTTCAGATCAGAACATGCCTCATAACCACCTGGTTTGGGCTTAGAAGGCACAGGCGATTGAATTTGCTGCTTGTATTCTAGCTTCCAGATCAGATGCTTTTGATATTCCTGACCTTTCTGACCAGGGAGGGACTGTCCCTTCCAAGACTAGCTAATTCTTAGAGATAACAAACTCTCCTGAAAGCAAGTGTGCCATCCATGAGCAAAGGAACCAATTCAGAGGCCAATCTCACTGTCCCTGTTATTAGCATACACAGAAGGACAGGATTCCCTTCATCTAATCTCCCAGAGCCAGGCACCAACAACTGGTTATGCAGACCAGGCAATCCTCAACCCGCTTAACCTGCTTAGTCTGCCTCACCCAATTCTTCCCACAAAAGCCACAATAAAGGCTCTTCCTTTCAAGTTCCCATCACTCTGCCAATAGCCCACTCAGTGTCCTTCCTATGACCTGTGTGAGTGGTATCCCATGCTCCCAAGTTCCTCTTAGGAACTGAGAAGAATAAAGTGCCTTTTAAAATTGTTTTGTCTCTTGTCAGGCTTCCTTTTACCTGAATAAAAAATAGAATTTAAATTTTAAAACAGTAGCTGATGGGCAGATTGTCAACATTCAGACTGACAAGTCCACATCTAGACTGACAAGTTTTATCACCTCTTATCTTTTGTTAGTCAGCTTTTCATTACTGTGACACAATACCTGAAAACAACAACTTATAGGAGGAAAGATGATTTTGGTTCAATCTATGGTCACTTGGCCTCATTGCTATGAGCCTGTGGTGAGGCAGAAGCTCACCTGTCGAAGCAAAGATGCTTACCTCATGGCAGCCAAGAAGCAGAGAGAGAAGCAACAACCAAGAACAAGATAAACTCTGCCAGGGCATGCCCCTAAGTGACTTATTTCCTCCCTCTAGGACTCATCTCCTACAGCTTCTACTACCTCCTAATAGTGCATCCAGTATGAACCCATCAATGAATTAATCCACTGATGAAGTCAGAGCCCTTATGATCCATCCAATTACTTTCCGAAAGATCTGACTTTTGCTGCATTGGGTATCAAGTCTTCGATACTTGAGCATTTGAGAGACACTGTAGATCCAAACCATAACATATCTCAACATTGTGAGGGGGCCACAGTATCTAAATGGCTCCAAAATTGAACAAAGACAGTTCCTAGATGCAGAATTGAATTGATCCTCTTGATGCACTCAGCACTTCACATACTTACTGTGAGAGGATCTTGGTCTGTCTCTTCATCCAAACCACAAGGCCTGCCCAGCAGACCCACAGCAGCAGAAATTAAATAAAGTGGTCATCCTAATTCACTAAATTGGGGGAAGGGGAGTTGTTACACAATAAAAGCCTCTGAAACACTGCCTGACATCCCAGAGGATTAATAGTCCCTCAATCTGGGCCTGGAACCACTTCCTGTGGCAAGAACTTGGAAAACATCATATGGAGCTTTCATAGGTATATGCAAAGAGGGCTCTTGCCAGGTCAGGGGAGCATTTGAAAGTGTGCCGGGTGCATTCTGAAGTGGGCCATGAGGTCTCGGCCCAAGAAGCTGCAGCAACTTCAGACCACTGCAGCCAACCTCATCCTCAGAATGACTTTAAGCAGAAACCCATGAAAAGGAGAAGCAAAGACCTTTGTGTGGTTTGCCTTTGCAGACATTAGGAGGTCTGAGGAAACTTAGTTCTTCAAACTTTCTATACACACAGGAAAGGATTAAAATACAGTTATCACTTTAGTACTCTTTAAAGCTATATTGCAGATCATAGCTTAAGCATAAGGCAAAAATGGCCTCTTCCCTCTTCAACATGTCCAGTGAATGCTTGGGCTGGATGGTCTTCTCCACATGTGGGGACTTTCTGCTCCTGCCACTGACCACAAGGCTGAGCCCAAGGCTGGAGCTAGAGCCTGGTGTTGTACAGCCTGCAATAAATCCCAAAGTGAGGCAGAGACCCACGTATCCCAGGAGGCTGTGTAAGAAAAGGAAAATACACCCTGAGTACCACACACCCTCTGGGAGGGCGACCAAAGCTAACACAGAAGAGAGGAGGCTTGGAGTGCATGCACAGTAGCTGATGGCCCAGACCAATTCTATCCTGGGAGATCCCTACAGGGAGCCCACAAAATGAGATTTGAAGTCTCAACCTAGGCTGGCTTTCAGATAAACAGCCAACATACCTGATGTGGACCAATGCTAGCATCTTTTATAGACGGGATGTCTTGAAGTCACAGAAAATAAATTAGTGTGATCCTTACTACCATATCTCCGAGAGAGACAGACATCACTTGTCACCCTCCTGAACCCCGTAAGTGATCTGTGACCACTCTGGATACTGTAGCCCTCAGCCTGAACTGTGCTGGCTTGTTGAAACCTGTTCTCACACTTGAAGCTTTCTTTGATTCAGTCCTGAATATTTGGTTCCATTGTCCAGTTACTGGCTTGTTCTGGTCCTTTTGTTCTTGTATTTTCTGATTCTACTTGTGTACTTTGGCTTGGATGTGCCTCACTACCCCACTTTGGACTTTGGAAAGTAGAACTCCTGCCCTGACTGAGTCTTCATCTGCCTCTTACACTGACCAATCCTTAATATCTCAGCCATCCAACCCTCCCAAAGGGCAAAGATCCTGTCTACTAGGATGACCAAGTTGCCACAAGGGAACATGCTTTTGATTCAGTGAAACAAAAGAAGTGACACATAAATTGTATTTGCAATTGTGTGAAAATATGCCAAGGGAAAAAACAGAAGGAGGCTCTGAATTCAATTTTTAAAAATACCCTTGTTATATTCATGTTCTAAAGTCTATTCTAAGTTGAAAACTTGTTTAATGTAGCTATTTCCCCTTAAAATTAGGATCAATCATTATTTTTTAATTACACCAACGATCTGCATGTGTTATTTGTTAGCTCCTTTGGCCCTGGGTAGAGACTAGTAAACAGGAACCAAGTAATTTAGATTCTTTTAACTATAATAGAAAAAAGATTTTAATGTCCATCCTCACTTCAATTTATTTTACAAAATTGAAAGAGAGGATTTACTTATTGAAAATGTAAAATTGCTCTGCTAATTTAAGTTGAAAACTGWTATTATGTTATTTGACCTTAGAAAAAGATTGTGAAATAATTTTTCAGCTTATCAGAGACTTAAAAATATCTACACTGTTTAAAAAACTTGTAGGATGATTTCAAAGGATCTGAAGTATTCAGTGTAAGTTTCATGGACAAGTGATCATGAGATTTGTCCAGGGTTATAAAGCTGGGAAGTGGCAGAAGTAGAACTTGATCTTTGGCATTCTGACTCTGGTATTCTTTCCCACTCCTATCCACTAGGAAGCTGGAAATAAGACATATGAACTAATCAAGAGGGACTTTGTGACTTCTTTATAAACAATTTGGTATAATCTGGAAGTAAATGTGACTAACCTAAAACAAATACTGTCTAGGACTCATTAATGGGAATAATAAATCCCAATTCCTACCATATTATCTAAATTCCCTAACAATTTGAGAGTCTCTTAATTCTCTCAAATCCTTGAATTTCTCCCTGAAAACTTTTGAGGGGCAAGATGATAACTTGAATTCAACTACAGCAAAAGATGTTAAAGTGATATTATAAATTCTAAAGATAATCCAGATGATGACGATTGAGATATCCTGACTCTAGTTAGGTTTGAGAACTATAATAAATACCAAAGAATTGAAAACCTGAAATCATGCTAAATTTATGCAAAAAGAAACACGCTCCACAGAAAAACTAATAATTAAAAACTTTTCCTTAAATTTGAAGGAAAAACCATTACAAGGTTTAGAGTAGGTTATGATAAAAATTTATAATCTGTATAGGGCTAAAGTATGAACCATGTCCATGTTGACTTAAAGCACTTCACCAGTATATTTACAGGGGGTATTCAAGAATTTGTTGCCTTCTCCAGAGGTTTCCCCAGCAACATCTTTCACCTTATGATGGTCTGGCTTTTTGCACATCTAGAAAGCACTTCCATATCCTAGATTTTTCCCAGTTAGGCAGGAGAAAGGTGATTGGAATTTTATATACGGTGCACAAATTTATGTATATAAATACAACTGACCCCTAATAGATACTTTAAATTGTTTATTTGTATTGAATCATCAGAATCTCTCCATTCATCAGAGTGGAAAACATCCAGTAGTAGCTACAAGTCAATGTTTATACAAAAATTAATACTTAAGTAAATGTAATAATTATGAGTAAATGTCTTTAGGTTTCTAGCAATTTTCTAAAACCTATTATAAATGGTTGAATGCAAAACAACCAGCCAAACATGAGGTTAGTTGGTTCTCTCCTGACATCTAGTGTTTCTCAAGTATTATTGCAAAATATCTGTTAATTTAAAACTATTCTTAGATTGAAAATGTACATGGAATAAAAACATTTTTCATTTGAGAAAAAAAAATTGTTAAATGGAATAAGGCTCCAAACAAAATAATAAAAAAGCTTCTGTTCCTAAGGAATGGCACTTTTATTTTTAACTCTTCCCCTGGGAAAACCCTGCAATGGTATATATTCTCACAATTCTGTAGAGTAAAAAGAGAGAGACCCAGCACATACGGAGGTGTTCCATATCACAGAGAGATAAAGGAAATGAAGGAAAGGCACTGACTCTCTGAGGTCCTACTGTGTGTCAGGTGCTGGACTTGTAGACTTCCACTGTAGTTGTCTCTGTGCTTTTAGAAACTGCTGGACCATTCTAAACCATGGAATCTTGGCCTATGCACAAGGTTTTGAGGATTTCCCTACTCTGCTTTGTGGAAATGAGGAGACACTTAATATGCCCTCATAAAACATAGTGCCAGGCCTAAACTGTGGGTCCTTAGGGCAATCTAGCTGAATAGAAATGAGTGAAGGCCCTTAATACCAACATTTTCTTTCTATTTGGGATATTCCACATAAGTAAAAGAATGAGAAATGATGAAGATAAAAACTTTTTTCTAAAAAGCCATGGAAACTGAAATCAGCTGTGAGCTGGGGCAGGGAATACATCTTCTGTCTCTTCCATGTACAAGGCCCAGGCTTACCCAATCCTTCCTTTCTTGTAGTTCCTCTTTCTAATCCATATACACTCCTACAGCCACTCTTTCCTTCAGCCTCTGCTCCCTCCACACTGTAAGGCCCAGGGTTTTCCAGACTGCTGCTCAAAGCATTAACAGGCAAATTTTCTCATCAATGTCCTTCTTGCTCCTACTGATGTAGTGGTACCTGGCTCAATGAGGAACCCTCTCTACCTGAACAGCCTGCTCTTCTCATTTGTCCTCAAACCCTTACCTATCGCTGATGGAGTATGGAAAGCAAGGTATACACAACTTTGGAACAAATCCCATTTTGGAAATAAAGTGATTCTAGCATGAGGACTCTAAAAAAGTACATGGAAAATGGTAAATTAAACATGAGAAGAAACAATCTTTTTACATTTTCTTGCATTTGTGGGCATCATCAATAAAGCCCAGTAAGAACCACCGGAAACAACTAGAAGTCAATATTCATGGGCAGGATGGACACAGCATGAGTGATGAATGAGCAGTCAGTGTGAAGTGCCATTAGGGCTCTGTAGAGACAAGCAGATCTATATGGTTCTAACAAAAGGTCAGGAAGAGGCCTGGGATGGGGAGTGGGAATAGTGCCACTACCTTTTCTAGTGGTAGAAGACTTGAGCCTCGCCAGAAATGGCACATTAGACAGCAAGACATAATAAAAAAAGAAAAAAAAAAACTAAGTCTGCCAGATTTCTATTAAAGTTCTTTCTTGGCTGACTAAATTTGTCAATCCTTTCAATTTCTATATTCCATTCATCCTTATTGTTCAAAGATTGTGATTTACCTCTCAGTTTCTTCAGATTATTATTCTTATCTTTCTGTAAATAATATCATTCGTAATGTCCTCCAATGTTTTTACTAATTTCCTGGGGTTTTGTTCCCTAGCTGCAGCTCTAAAGACCACAAAGAAGAGATGCATAAACACATTTTATTAAACACAGGTCAAAAAATCCTCTTTTTTTTTCTAACAGCTTGCTTATCCTTAAGGAATGTGTAAATTTCAGACTTTTGAGGGTCTATATAGGATGGTAAGGGATAAAAGAGTGTAGCACAGATTGAGAAATATATTCAAATGCACTGAAATCAATGCATGACAGCTTTTTAATTATTTTCCATGGATATGGAAAATACGAGTAGTCACAGATGTTCATCAAGGGCCTGTGTACTAGACATGGTAGAAGATAATAGATCAAGGCACAGACTGTCTGCAGGATGTGTGCCCTCTAATTGTGGAGCTAAAATGGAGGCAAAAGGAGATATTTATGTTTCTCTGCACACATACCACTCACACAACAACATAATCCTGAGACCCAAAAGAGGGAGGCACCCCAGGGTATAGAGGTAGGATTTAAATTCTTTACGCTGAAATGCAGCAGCAGAGCCTTGTCCAGCATGTATAAGACCCTGAGATCAATCCCCAACACCACAAATAATAATATAAAATGAAAATCTCCCAATAAAAATGGGATGGATGGGTAAGGGGTGGTATTTATTTCTAAAATCAGTACATCAGAAAAAAAATTTGAATTCTCAATACATTTTTTTTCTATCTTCAGACATAAAGGCTTTGCCATGAAAACACTATGATTATCTGTCTCTGATGAATTATCAAATGTGATTTAAAAAATCATATATTGATTTAAAAATCAGAGCTAATCACATAGAAAGGGAATCTCTGTAGCTTTCTAATATTGCCATTAATAATTAGTTATTATAATAGTTTAATCACAGAATTATTCAAAGTGCTCTGTTAACCCATCAAAGATTTTCAATCAAACATATAACATTGCTGAAATGAAGAAAAATTTCCAGTATAAATTGGACGGAACTGATAAATCAGGGCTTTCTCCTCCTCAGATTGAGATTCAAAGTGATGATCGTTTTTCCGAGCTACAAGAAAAAACAAAGTTTGTTGTTACAAAAGATTGTATGACAAGATTTCAAAAAGACTATATTTCTTCCTGCAGTCAGCATTATTAAGTGGTAAAACACCAAGAAGACAATGGTTTTCAGAATTTCCCCCCAAAGTAGAATTTCCCCCCAAATACAGGAGTGCCTGGTTTAGACAGTTGCCTAGTAAAGCAACAGCTATAGTTACCCTGCACCAGGGCCCTGTGATGCTTGCTCCCCAATTCTTTCAAACCCTGACTAAAGAGGCTACATATGCAGGAGACTTGATACAGGGCTTGGGGTTAGAAATATAAACAGGACAAGTTTAGCCTAGTAACCACACAATGCAATGTATTTATAGTATACCTCATTGAGGTACTACAAGAGTAAAAAGGATGGAGAAGTTGGCGCAGGTGAAATGGGAACAAATGGAAGACAGGCACTTCACAGATGAGGCAGAACTCTAAGAGGCAAGGAGGTATGATAAAGTTTGCAGGTGAGGGGGTAAGAACTTAGACTTTATCCTAAAGTCCAAATAAGGTAAACACAGGCTCTTCTGGCATTTTCAGAAACAAGGACATTGGCAGTAAAGAACCAACAATTGCCATATGATTAAAACTGCAGTGAAGGCTACTCTGCCCATGACAGAAAAATGTTCCTTTGAACTAATGCTGCATATGAGAGGTTATGTTTTTGTTTTTCAATTTGGAGACTCTGTCATGAAAACCATCCATTCAACTACACATAATTCTAAACCAGAATGAACCCAGTAGAGGGTACATCTGGCTTCCCAATAAGAGCGGGAATGTAGATAAAAAGCTTAAGGCGAGCTTAGAGATAAGATGAAAATAAGGCTCACCAATGTTTTCAAGTAGCCACACCCCACCTAAGTGATGCTCTGTTCCTTGCAAACTGTGTCCATACCCCTGTCCTACACACCTATCACTCAACTTAAAAAAAAAAAAAGTATCTATAACCAATCCTATATTTTACCCACAAACATAAAATAGAATGAAAATTTCTGTGTTTTCATCATTAAAAAGCAGACAAAGCCAGGTGTGGTGGTGCACACTTGAACTCCCAGCAGCTTAGGAGGCTGAGAGAGGAGTTCAAAGCCATCCTCAGAAATGGCAAGGTGCTTAGCAGCTCAGTGAGACCCTGTCTCTAAATAAAATACAAAATAGGACTGGGGATGTGGCTCAGGAGTCAAGTGCCCTTGAGTTCAATTCCTGGTACCCCACCCCCAAAAAGCAGACAAAGTTTATTAACTTTCTTCAATGTGCCAATGCCTTAAAATCACAAACCAGCACAAAACATCATTGTCTTAGAAAAATAACACCTTAATCCTGAGAAGTTATTATAATTAAAGCATTATTTMTAAAAAGAATAGGATCATAATTAGAATAAATTATACTCCATATCTGTATAATATGTCAAAATACTCTCCGCACCACATATAAATGAATGAACAAAATAAAGGCCCATCAATTTTTTTTAAAATCTACTGATGTATTTCTAATAAAGAAAAAAAAAAGAAAAGAAAGCAAAGGAGGAAAAACTAAATTCAAGAAAGAAAGAAAAAGGAAGATTCTTTAAGCTATTGTTCAAGAATTCAGCCCACTGCAGCATCTATGATACCGTTAAATAACTGTCTTCCTTTTACTTGACTATCTAGTATCTCAAACACAGAGCTTTAACATTATTTAGTATCTGTTTTTGTTTTTTTTTTTAAAGTTAACCTATAGATCTTATGAGACAGTTACAGAGAAAAAGAGTACATAGAAGTCCACAATTTCCTTCAATACTAGAGTAATAAGATTATGTATCCATGTATTACCTTCAGAAACAAAGAACTCTGCTAAATAAAATGCAGTCTTCACAGCATTAGGTTCATGTGAAATGCCTTGTAATTTTTCCCATTCATAAGGTGCTTTCTCTGGATGCCACTGGACACCATATACTGGATACTTATATCCTTTAAGAAAAACACAATCTAGTAAGTATTAAGAATGGTTTAAGATGTTTTTTATAATTACATTATTTCATATCCTATGTAAAACAAAACAGTATTTTAAAACTCAATACAAAAGACAAAGTAAAATTATGAATAACCTCTCAGACACAAAATAAAGAATTTCTGTTCATCGTCTACGTGAATATTCCCAATAACGTATTCCACTGATTTACAATTTTACTTTTAATTCAATTTCACTTTTTACCATTTGTAATATGATTTGCTTTTTGAGATAATCACAGCAAAGTAAAATAATTTAGCCATGGAATACAGAACAGTTAAACAGTCAAATGCACAGTCTTTGTTTTGTTTCTTTTTGTGAATTGTACCCAGGGCCTGATACATGCTAATCACGCACTCTACCACTAAACTACATCCCCAGCCTCAAGTGCATATTTAATTAGTGACACAAGATTCTTTCAAATAGGTATCTCTTCACCCACTGCTTCAAACCATATTTTCATCCCATAATGACTTATACAAGTAAACTATGCCAGCACTTCTGGTATCCTTTCACATTAGCTAATTTGTCTCAGCCTAAACTCTGTGTACCTCATGATTTTGGGTATCAATTTTTTAAAAAGCTTTTATAAGTTCAAAATTGGTACTAAAGACAGATTGGTTAAAAAAAATCAACTGTTTTTAGAACTCTTAATAAATATCTTTATAGATAAAAATGGTATGATTCCTGGTATTAGCTTAGAAACATAATTCAGTGTGGAGAGAAAAATAGATAGGAAATAAGAATAGGGACATGCTGACAGTTGTTGAAGCTGAGATAGATACGCCAGGATTCATTTAGTGACTCTCAACATTTACATGTTTCAAAAATTACACTATTTTTTAAAAAGTGAATATGTATAATAGTTATTTTTTAATATAGGGAATTTAACACAGGAGCACTTTAAGACATTCCCAGCCCTTTTATTTTTAATTAAGGGTCTAAGTTGCTAAGATTGCCTTGAACTTGCCATTCTCCTGTTAGCCTCCTGAGTCACAGGGATTACGTGTGTGCCACCATGCCTGGTTTACCTTCTAAAAAATTTACATATTTTTCTTCTTAACCTGTGCCTTCCCTCATTTCAAAGAAAAAAAAATCCCTTTTATAATACTTTTCTTTGTAATTATAACCATGACTACCTCCAGAAAGTGCTTGGAGAAATGAAGAGAATCAGCTGAAAAGTAGAGATATTCAGAGGAAAGAGCACTGTCCTCTCACATCCTACCAGTCTCTTCCACTGGAGAGCATGTCACAAGAAGGGAAACATTTTCTGGCAGCATAGTTGGGGTTTACAGGAGGCAAAGTCTACCAGCAAGCAGCTGTGGGCACAGTGTTCATCCCTTCCCCCTGCCTCCCTCCCACCTCCTTATGACGGCACTTTCTTTTTCTCTGGTCTTAGGACTATTCATGAAGATACCAGCAAAAGACCCACATCTCAACCATATTTACTAGGTTTTCCTTATTAATTCATGGTTTTACATTATATAAGATAAAAAGTGATCCTATCCCAGTCATACACATTACAAATATCTCCTTTTGTTTCTCCTCTATTTTTTATCACAACTTCTTAATCTGGCTGATTTCATCAATATTTTACTTTATGGTGTTTCTTTTTTTTTTTTTTGTCTCCTTCCCTTACACAAGAGCATAAAGATATTCTCCTCTACTTCCTCTAAAATCTTGTTGTAGTTTTCCTTTCCACTTAGGTCTTTTATTTGCCAGTATTTTTTTGTCAATATGTAAATACAGTTTGTCACCATCCCAATTTCCTTCAAGAGTTTAGTTGGAAATGTTAGAATTTTTTAACTCTAGCCTCCAGATTCCAACTTTTCTGTCAACACATTTCTGTCTATGATGGAGTCTGCACATTTTCCTTCAGATTTGTCTTCATCTAGTTCACTAATCTCTCTTTAACCATGTCTAACCTTCAGATTAACCTGTCTTCTGATATTATTTCGACTATGTCTTCATTCTACTAGAATTTGGCTCAAGTCTGATTGTTTCATACTTATATTTTTAAGTGTCCTTTATTCCTTTAAAAATTAAAATATAATTATATTACACTGTACCTCATAATTTAATACCTAAGATTTGTAGCAGGCTGACTCTATGTCTGTTGTTTCTACGATCTCTCATACATGGTATTTTGCTTCCTGTGTATTATTGATTTTGGGGGGGCAAGAACTGCTCATATTCCTTCAAATCTTATATGCAGGAATTCCTTGAAGTCTGCAATGAATGACTGCTATTCCAAAAAGAATGATTTCTATTTGCTTCTGACATTCATGTGTGAGCACTACCAATATGAGATAACTTTAAGTAAAATTCTTGAGATTTGTCCAGCTTCCCAATTAGCATAGACCACACTAGGAGACCAACCTGTCATTCTGAGTGCTCAAGGCCTATTGACTCCACCCACCCCACTCCCTTAGTGCAGGTTCAAGATGGGCAGTTCTCCTGGCACTTGTGCAGACAGGACTCCAGCTATAGTCTGAGTTCACTCTTATATGGAAGGTGCAGCCTTTCATTTCCTGCTCCATCTAGTACTCTCCATGGAGGCAGGTCCTGAACTTTCAAATTTTCCTGACTCGACACCAATGCTGGTATAAATACCTTGGTCAACGCAGAGTTTTAGGCTTGAATATCCTTACTTTCTTAGCATTTCATCAATGTACTTTAGAAAAATGCTTTTCTCTATCAACAGCATTTCTGTTGTTGTCTGGAGGAGAATCTGTCAAAGTACTTAATTTGTAATACAGTTAGAAACAGAAGTCACTTTCTTCGTTTATGTCCTTATCCTGTCCCCCTGCCCCTGTTTTTGTTTATCATCATCACCTCGTCCTAGAAAATATTCCGGTAAATCATAACTGATCTGAAATTCAGACAATTATGTGTCTTATCTCCAAAAATGCCCTCATTTCCACCTTAAGGCCCTAAAGCAAATTGATTTTATTTATAAGATACACATAAAATCAAAATTAATGAATTAAAGTATACATGGTACAATGACACATACCTTCCATCGATGAAATGAACTCAATCTTGTCATCTCTATTCGTAGTTAACACACTGAAAAACTTGCTTAACTTTTCATTCAACGTAAAATTCTAGAGTATAAAATGAAAGAAAATTATTAAATCTGTAGCTATTATAAATATATCAATTTCCTGTATATCTAATGTGATACCTTTATGGAAAGGCTCCATTTGTGGAAATTTGCAGTCAGGGGTTCTGTTGCTAATGACAGCAACAAGTCAGCAGGAAAATTCTGGAACATTCTGCTCTGCAATGTAGCTAAAGTAATTTAAGCACAAGATACATAATTTAAACCCAAGAAAAATAAAATCCCCATTTTTTACAGCCAAAGAAAGGTCATTATAAAGACATAATCACCATAACCACATAAGTAAAACAGTCAATACCACAGGATTATTCCAAACAAGCACAAAATTTGTTTAACAGAAATCCAAATATGTTTCAGGAATAATTATTTTTCTTCCAGAGTATTAATATGAACAAGTAAAATTCTTCTAATATAAGAATTTGTATGCTAGCCATAGAGTAAGAGGAGAATCTTAACTCTAATTCCCCAGACATCTCTGAAAAACATGTAGAATATTCCAAGTGTTTATATAATTGTTTTCCCAGGAAAGAATCCAAAACTTCCAACATATTTTAAAAGGTATCTAGAACTTAAAAGATTAAAAATACCAACAATGTAGAAAAGAACATTAACTATTCCAAAAAATTTCTGCTTGGTAAACAGATCAAAGCAGCAATGTATCTTAGTGGTCAGCACTGAAGCCTCTGTAGTCAGACACATAAACTCAAATAACAACTGAGGATTAAATTAAAAAAAAAAATCCTGATATACTCAAGGCTCTGATGCTAGTTGTTCTAAATCAGGCCCCTTCTTCTAGCTAACAGCTTCCATGAGAACAACAGTACCTTGAATACTGCTTTTCTGTATAAGCTGGGTTTGGCCATATAACCTAAATAATCTGAATGAAAACACATACCTTCCATAGAGTTTTTAAAATAATTGAGATAATAAGAAAGACCTTTCAAAAGCATAAAGCATTTTTTAAGTTCTTTGTATGCCTACTACTATTTTCCTTCCAAAATTCTTATGAGAATAAGAAATGATAGCATTCAATTCTGAGAATCTATACATTCAATAATGTACAAGAATCATTATGTACTTACACTCAGTGATATAACAAAGAATATGTCTTGTCTTCATTCTATGTTCCTGATAAAACCTCTAAAGCCCTTGCAATTTTCTAAGGGATAAGAGTCTTTGTTATTTCGAATGAGGGAACTCGGGGTAGATTATCTAAGGATGGAGCTCATTACCAAAAAGACAAACCACATGATAAGAAGGTTCTGACTTTTAAGACCAACCTCTGGGAATGGAAGAAGAACTAGATACTGAGTTCAATTATGTGGCCAATGATTCAATTGATTATGCTTTTGCAATGAAATACCAACAAAAAACCTAGACAGGCAAGGGTTTTTGTTGGTATTTCATTGCAAAATGGGAATGCATGCCTATAACCTTAGTGACTAGGAGATTAAGCAGGATTCCAAGTTCAAAGCTAACCTTTGCAGTTTAAAGAAATAATGTCTCAAAAAGAGAAATAAAAAGGGTTGGGGATGTAGCTCAGTGATAGAATGCCCTGGGTTTGATTTCCAGTGCTGCAAAACAAAACAAAACAAAAACCAACCCTGGGCACCAAAGCTCAATGGATTTTCTGGTTGTTAAGCAAATGCAGTACTTTCCTGAGTTTTGTGACTCCTTGTTCTGAATTACAAACATCAGAAGTCTGGGAAACCCCAAATTTGCAGAAGTTAGTAAGAAGAGTGGGTGGCCTGGGAATATGATTTTCGCATCTGAAATAAGGTGTTCTTTCTAGGGACCATACCCTTTCATTTGTGGGGTCTGAACTAAATCCAGATGTTTAGTGCCAAAATTAAATTACAGTATACACAGCTGGGRTTGAAACAAAGTAGGCAACCATGGGGAAAATATTGACACTGTAGTAATAATAGCCAACATAAAGAGTTGTATTTAAATCACTTAACACACTAACAATAACAACAAAAATCTTATTTAATTCTCCCTCACGAAAAATTCCTAAGAGGTAGAACCCCCTTTTCAATGAGGAATTTGATGGTAAGAGAGATTAGATGATTCCCCTAGTCCAAAGTAAGAAAACTAGGACTCAAAACCAGTTTCAGAGTTCTTAACCACACATGATCTCAATTATCACTGGCAGCAAGAGATATCAGAATTTAAAATTCCTTAAATCATTCTCAAAAATGAATACAAAGATCATCACTCACATATTTAGCCTGTGTAGATACTTTAAAAATCAAAGATATAAGCATTTTTTACTTTGATACTTGCTGCTTAGTAATTCTATTCAATATATATTTTTAAAGGGGTTAAAGAGTATCCTCACCTCCAGTGAAATTCAGCGGCAATGTCACTGCAACAGTGTGTTCTGTGTGAGTTAATAAGCACTCCCCACTAACCAGATAAGTGAGCTCCTCAAATCCAAGGCATGTGCCCCACACAGGAAAATAGTCTCCATCATCATAACTCTTTGCAGAATGAAAGAAAAAGAAAACGAGGTTTATTCAAAATTTTCAAACAAAAATTACACATGTGATTTCTCATTACCAGATTTATACATGGATTTCTAAAACTTTGCCCATGATCCATAAGTAGACTATCAGTCTCTCTTCAGACCAAACTCCCACACAGGCTGGAAAAAGTGAGCTATGAACCCACTATATATCTTGACCCAGTGGCTATAAAAGATTACAGGTTAGCTTAGCTATTAAAAGTTTCCAAGCAAGTGTCTCAAATGCTAAAAGCAGTCACTTCAAGAAATATCTAAGAAAGAGTTGGCAAGACACTAGGCAAGATTAATTAGGAAATTGTATCAATAGTTAAGGGGAGAAACAGTAAGGGTCTAAGCTATGGTTTAAAGGTGGGCCTAATATGCAACATTACAAAGGAAAAGTCAGAGTTTCTGCATAGTAAATTAATTATTTTAAGGTTTAAGATAACTGCAAAGAAAGGTAATACAGGATTGAATGGATTGGGAAGAAAAGCAGATTTCAATAGGAGATAATTAATAAATTAATAAATTAGGAACAATGCCCAGTATGTAATAAAAAGGTAAGAGTACAAAAGGAGATAGCAGAATTATTAAGCCACATGAAGACTGTGGTTCACACATAGAAGCCAAGAATTAGAAGACAACACAAACACACAAAAAAAGGAGTGGAAGTAGCCACTGGCTGTTGGAGAACAGGGGCCTCAAAAGTTAATGGGTATGAGGCTACTTTACTTGTGAAGGAAGCAATACCATGTGCTTAAAAACAGAATCATACTCACAGAAACTGATAAAACCCATCTGGAATGATAAGAAATAACATATATTTACCTGTATGGCCAAGTCGTAAAATATTTTGGCTACTTGAGCATAATCTGAGCGCTTGAGGTCAACACTTCCTCCAGGGAAAAGGATTCTGAAACACCAATTAAGATGCATATTGCCCCCATACACACACACACACACACACACTCTCATGGCAAAATGCATTCTACTGTCATGTATAACTAATTAAAACAAATTTTAAAATATATTTTTAAAAAGCTGCCTTTGACCAAATTTGGTATATCTAATTTCATTAAAGTTCTTTCATATAGTAAAACTTCACTGTCCCTCTCAAATGACAATTCCTTTGAAGCAGAGTTCTGTCTTTTCATCCATTTCATCCCCCCCAAAAAATAGTATGGGGTCTTCTGCTGCATAATCAGAGCTCAAAAAAAAGGTTATTTTCAAGTTGTATTTGATTATTGCTCTTTTTCTGGTGACATTCAGAAACAGTAAATTACAACCCCTGATTTCCCTAATTAAGAGACCAGCTTCCAGTGCCTTGCTGTAGAGGAAAGTATGATCATATGGGAGTAAGAATTGGTGTCAAAGCATAATATCAGTGGGGAAGACACAGAAGGCATCCCCTTGCTGATTTAAGAGCCACTGCTTGGTTTCCATGAAGGTACACTGGGCATGTGGACAAGCCAATTACCAAAAATTTTTAATTCCTATCTATACAACTACTATTTCAGATTCCTTACCAAATAGGAATGCAGTTGGGAGAGAGTAGGAAAAGATGAAGTAATTCCAAAAGTATACTTGGGGTTTTCTTCTATTATATTCTAGTCTGAATTTATTTATCTTTGTCCTTGTCAAAGTACTTTGCACATAACAGGCATTGTAAATGTTCTACTAAAGTGAACTGATTTTACAGTAAATATTTACTGAACCAAACTGAACTGAAGGCAAATAACTTTTAAAAAAAGCAATACAGAAACATGATTTTTAAAAGTAAAAACAGTAACAACAGAGCTCTTTTTCAAAAAGCTTTATAGTAAAAAGACTCCCTCCTACCCCATTCCCTGAAACAATGTTAAAAATTTTTTGTTGATATTATAGAAATTGCTATGTGTATCTCCTCACCAATATCTTAAAACCAAAAGCAAATAGTAAATAAACCATATACACCATTAGTGCTTGTGTTTTTCACATATCATTAACATTCATATGACAACAGCAACCCAAAGCAGCATCTATAGATATACCAATTTTTATTTTCTTTCTTTCCTTTTTTTTTTTTTTTTTTGTACTGGGGATTGAACCCAAGGATGCTTACATCTCCAGCCCTTTTTATGTTTTATTTTGAGACAAGGACACACAAAGTTGCTTGGCAATCCTCCTGCCTCAGACTCCAGAGTTGCAGGGATTATAAGCATGCATCACCATGCCTGGCTTAGATTCACTAAATTTCAACTCCTGCGTGGTAGTCTATTAAATGATTATAGTCTTTATAATCACCTGATGAACTATTAAATAACTTCTAAATTGGGAGTTTTTTCAAGTTCCTGAGTCAAAAGATATGTTTATTTCTCATTTCAATAGATGTTACAAAATTGCCCCCAAAATACTATAGAATATTTACACTCCCACTAATAAAATACGAGAATACTTGTTTCCACATAACCTCACTTTTGAGTATCACCAAATTTTTGATCTTTGCCAACTTGATACTTAACAGTTTTTAATTGCTCCATTCACTTTCTTCCTTCAATTAAGAGTAATGTAGAACCCTTATTCAAATGATTAAAAGTATTTTTCTGTGATTTAAACAATCATATCTTTTGTGGTGAAACTAGAGAATAAAAAAGTTTTTTCCAAGTTCTAGTCAAATTACTTCCAAAAGATAATCAATTGATATCCTCAGATATAGGACTTACATAAATCCTCTCAGCAAAGCAGTATGCCCTACTATTCAAAGTTGCTTCAAAATATTTTAGATAAGCATTAAAAGAAACACAAAGATGTTACACATGTAAAAAGAATCATGTAATAATTATATATTTTCTAATCTACCTCCTACTCTGTATAGAACTTTTGTAACTCCCAGAAAAATATTTCCTTTAAAAGTTCAGAAAACTAATTTCATGCCACTCATGTTTTTTTTTTTTCAAAAACAGATATGCACACACTCATACACTGTATCAAACCAATTGATAGACAGGACTGAGGTGACATACACAAAGTATCAAGGTAACTTACCCATTGATAGATTTGAAAAGTTTTTCATATTCTGCATGTGTAAGATCAAGCCTGAAAACAAACACAGTTTACAAAATATTCATTTCTGAAACCTAAGGAAGAAATTATACCTCCAAATAAAGTTATCACATTAATTTTCAAAAGCCAGATGAAAAATAATTCTTAAATGGTAGACAATATCTACCTCCCTACCTTCATAGAGGCATTTTCTCAAACTACATGAAAGTTACATAACTATGCCCTTGTTTTGCTCATCAGACAGGTAAATGTATTTTTCTATGGTCTAATGAAACTTACTATGTAAAACATGAGTTAATATGCAAAAACGTGACAATTGGACACCAGTAATTTCTGTTAGCCAAAAATCATTAAAAAATCTAAGAGTTTTCAGTAGTTTATGTAAAGATTAGAGAACTTTATTATCATGCTGCTTTATTTTAACTTTAATTACTTTAATAGCTCTGCAAAATAAAAACAATATTAAAAATGCCAAATTCCATCCTCATCAACCAGCTGCAATAGTCTGGGAACTACTGTCTATCTACTCAAAAGGCAGAACAGTTCAGATTACACACAGCTCACGGAGGACTGGCCTAAATAATTCTGAAGCATCCTTCAGCAAACATCCCTAAGCACCTTTTAATTATCACCATGTTATTAATGATTTTTATCCTGAATACAGAATAAATCCAATGTGATTTATCTATGACAATTGGCAACAACCTCTAAATGTTGCCATAAAATTCAGTAAAATGCGAAAACAACAAAAAAGAGCTTCATGTTTGTGAAATTCTTCCAAAAACTCTCCTACATTTAGCAGTCTTTTGTTTCTATAAGAGAATAGCAAAGTAGAAGCCCTCTTCACCCCCTAAAAAAAGTAGACTTATAATCTATTGTCAACCTCAGTCCAAATCTCACCTAGGGACAAGTGTTACAAAGAGTTAGAACACACCCATTATCAAGCAGACACCTGTGATGCCTAGAATTGGTTGTGCTCTGCACACAAACCCCTCTGGGCTGTCCTCTAAGTCCAAGTAAGCTTTACAAGTTCAGAAGTTCATAGTAAATCTTATTCTGGCAGAGAACCACAAGGCTGTGGGTGATAGTGGGATGGTGCTTACTACTGTCTTAAATGGAAAATAAACTGGCAAGAGGCCCTGTCTTCGAAAGCCACAGGGAGGTGAAATGTGAATCCACACGTTTTCAGTAATGTGCCAGTGCAATCTCTCCAGATTGTGCCAACAAAAAAGGAAACCAATCAGCCAAGTCCAGAATCCTCCCTATGGGTATTTAAATAAGAAGGAGCAAACCACTACCATCAGGAATCAGAATGGATGGAGATCACTCAGCTACACGCTAAGGACTCCTGCCAGCTAGCTATGCAGGCTAGTTTCAGTCACGTCATTATTCTAAATAGTCAGCTCCCACACTGTCCGTGACTGAATCCTTGGACCCCACTTATCATTATTAAGGAGGCTAATTGTTGAGTATGTCATAAACTCTCTTGCCTCAGGGGCCTATGACAGAAAATAGACCAGGTCACATTTTTTTGAACACAGATGTTATTTGCACATTGTACGGCATTTCTTGAAACAAAAGCCTCTCAAAAAGATAGAAGAAATAGTTCATTCCTTAACTAAAAAAAAAAAAAAACAAAATGGCTAAGCCTGGTAATGATGGTAAATGACACCCTGCTTCAGCAGCATGGAAATGAGTAGCAGGCACCAATGCCAATGAACAGCACATGTTCCATTCAACATTAGATCACAGTTGAGCCCAGGAAACCAAGGAAAGCCTGGGCAACATAATGACACTCCACAAAAAAAAAAAAAAAATCCAGATAATCATCTTCAAAAGAAGCCAAATCCAAATATTCAGATTTTGTAAATGTCTTAAAACACTGTGAATGAAACCCATTTTTAAACCAAAGCAGCCATGGCTGCCATATACTACCCTTTCAGGAGGCAGGACACTGCTTTCCACATAAGTCCCACAGTGGGAACTGATGGCAACCTGAGAGCAACTTGTGCCTGAGAGAGAAGGTAGCAAAAAGAAGATAGGTAACCAAAGAAAAACTTGTTCACCTACCACTGAGTTTTGCCTATGTCTCCCATCCTCTTCGGTTTCCCCTCTAAACTACAGGAGGTAGCCCCCAACAACCCAATTCAGACAGGAACCTAACACTAAAGGTGTGAGCCCTTCCTTCTTATTCTACATTAGGTAACCCTTTACATGCTAGTCTGGGAATTTAGCTCCCTTGTATTTCCTCATTTCTACAGGATCACATGATGCAAAGTCCAAGCAATACACCTTATGATATACTTTATTTAGCAAGCAAACTGGAGATTAAACTATATGCTGACAGACACACTGTCAGCATCTCTGTCATAAATTCCAGTATTCTGCAAGCGGTATGATTTCAAAACATGCCTGGTTTCAAAACTTCCGTCTTTCTCATCTCTTTCTTCCTCCCTATGTCCTTTTATTTTATTAGTCATCATGTCTTGCTGACTTCTTTAAGGACTTGTATTATCAACCCCAGGACCACTGCTCTAGGTCATGCATGTCTTCATCATTCACACCCAGACTTACAACAGCCTCTGAAGTAGGCTACCTGAGAGCAACCTGTCTCCTCTTTCCTGCCCACATTATCAGGATTAGCACCCTAAAAAAAAACAGCTGCATTAAAATAATTCCCTGATTAAAAACTTGAAATATTATGTCCTGCTGGGAACTTTTAGGAATCTCTTCCTCAGCTTTAAAACTCTGGTATCATCTATGTTCCAAGTAAAATTTCATTTGAAAAATTCAATTTGCTACTAAAAAATTAAAGACTAATGTTAAAAGCAAACATTCATCTTAGTGTAGAGAGAGTTAATTGAAATGCAAAATATCACACAAGAAGACAATTCTTGTGAATTTAAACATTACATTTTGTGGTACAATTCTCTAAATTGTAATATTTGACTTTGATTTTTATTGTTATTATAGTTAGGTAGGCTACTTCTTTGTTTTAATTTTTACTGAGGAATTATACAAAAAATTATTGTACAGAATAAGTTGTGTTTTTGTGTGAAATCACAACAGATTAGATGAGGGTTCTGGGAGATTTTAATATACTAATTTCAGCTGATAATAAAATATGAGATGAATCATTTTTTCTTACTGAACTATTTTATCCCCAAAATAATGTATCTCCTTTAAACTTGAAAAACCCCATTAATTTATAATGAAGTAACAACACTGCTGCATTAGTCCTTACAAACTTTTAAACCAGAGCATGAGAACTTTTTTACAGTCATCATTTAAAAATCTTCTTCACTCCCTAATTGTCCCCTTATTCTAATAATAAGGAATAAAGCTGGTTCAATTGTAAATTGCGTTATTCCATTACTTTCATGATGTTTGTGGGAACCAACTTTTCTGGGGCAAGGAAATTACCATTTCATTTTCAACGATTTCTATTGAAACTATAGATACAAACAGCTTCATTCATTGAACAAAATAATGACAGACTGCAGGCATTAGGTTTGTGGGAAAAAAATCACATGCAATGTTACTACTTTTAAATAAAATGATACACTCATAGGAGAGAAAGCATTAATTCTGGAGATAAAACACTGAAATTTTTATATACCATATAAAAAATTAAAACATACCTTATTGGTATAACTCTTGCACCCGCAGACTCTAGATACTTCACATAAGATGCAGCAATATAATATCTTCCAAAGTTTTTCATTTCCTTATGGCATTTTTGCATTAATATTCCTAAATTTTAAGAAAAGTTTTAGTTTCAAGCAAATCCCTTTATTTCTTAGTCAGAAACTGAAACTAAAAATATCATTATTTTATTTTTTCAATTCACAGAACTAAATAGGAAGCATCTCCTGCAAGTCGATCCATAGAATCTGGGAAATGAATAGTGGAGGCTGATCTGAGTTTCAGGTAGCCCCATATCTTTCACCACATTTGGGAGGCCAAGTAAACCTTCCAGAGAAGTCTCCAATAGCACCAGCATCCTTTATGTAACCTCAGACTTGGAATTCATCTCAGAGCACACATTCCTAAATCTAACATGTGGCCATTTCCTTCCCATACACACTCAAAAGACACAACTGCCTCCTTGCCAGATAAAGCAACAGTGTGGAAATATCTTCTATCCACATCTCTCCATCACCACCCAAACCCAAGCACCATCTTTTCTCCCCCAACCCAGACTATTAAAAGGTCTCTCTGCTTTCCTAAGGAACCTCCAAATCCAACCAGTTTTCCACATAGAAGCAAAGATGATCTTATCACCTACTTCATTCATTCAATATTGCTGAATTATACTACATGCTAGGTACTAAACTAGGAAAACAAGAATGAAAAAACAACAAAAACTCCCTGAGGGAGAATAAGAAGGGAGGACAAATAATAAAAAAAAAAAAGATAAAAAGAAATAAGATATAGTGTGATGGCTGGTGGTTAAGTGCAAGGAAGAAGAAAATGTAAAGCAAAGGAGGTGGTGTCTCACTTATAATCTCTTAACCAGGGTGGCCAGGCAAGTTCTCCCTAAGAAAATAGAACATATTTGAGCCAGCACTTCAGAGAAGTGAGAAAGTAAGCCACCTGCAAATATCCCGGGAAAAGAGCAATTCAGGGCTAGGGAACAGCAAGACCAAAGGTCACCAGTTAGCCTGTCACACTGTAAGGAGTTTGTTTGACTAGAGCCATGTAAGGGAAGGGAGTAAGCAAGAGGATCTGAGATAGAGACAGATCCACAGGAGTCACAAGTTTGTTTAAGCATTCAATGGGTTCCTAAACTTTAGTAAACTACATAAGACCCTGCATCCTCTGTCCCACCCAACTCTCTGGCTTCCTGTTATCACAGCAACCCAGGTCCGCACAATGCTAGCATCTAGCACACATCAAAACATCCTAAGCATGCACAATGCCCTTGCTTCAATCCCCAGCACCAAAAGAGAAGGAAAAAAAAAAGTCTGCCTGGTGAGTACCTGTTCCTACATCATTTCATTTGGAACACTTTCAATGTCTCCGTAGGCCACCTGACAGGAAGAGCCTGTCGTATTAATCATGTCTGTATTTCCAGCTTCTTCCAATAACTGGTACATATCAGGTACTCAGATAACATGTCAAATGTCAAAATGTGTTCAATAAGACTGTTTCTCTCCTTGATGGTAAGATTGTCTTCATTATGAAAAATTAAATTTGGCTAGGAAAAGAAGAATTAGGGAGTGCCATAGGAAATGGAGTGGTCACAGAGCAGGCAGGGGAAGTGCCACAAAGCGGGTCTTGGGGTATTCATGGGAATATAGGGGCAAGAAGGGAAAAAAATGACATTAGAATAAATTCCACCAACATCCACCCTGCTCCCATCTCCCACATATACTCACTTTTCCCAACCCTGGAAAAAAGAACTTAGGCTGTATGTACTTTATCCCTAGACACATGACCAAAATCCCACACATACATTAAGGTATCTCCTAACTTTTGTGAATTCTTCCTTTGCCTTTCCTAGAGGAATGCCTTGCACATACAAGGTGATCAATCATTCTGTCTTAATTGATCAGGGTATTGATCCTCTGTATTTGACCTAGGGCTACACCCAATTCTAGCAAAGGGAAATGAATCTACTCTCTCCTTTTACCTCCTCCTGGGTGCTCAATATGCAACTATCTACATAAAAAATTTCCTTGAAGACTGACCATCATCACAAATAGCTATATAATAAGTCATTTCAGATTCCAAATATTAGTAAGCAACCTATTTGAAAATTGGGTGTTACCCATACATGTGGAAAAAAAATACTAATCTACTTTCTATTTAGTTACAGAATACAGTGCATTTTTGTGGAAGGAAAAATAGTATGAATGAAATAATCCTACATAGATTGAGATAAAACTAATGTTAATTGTCCACACGCAAATTTCTTTGGCAAATTTTAATCCCAATCTGATTTCTCCTAGTAGCTTTGCCTGACTCTATCTCAAACATCTGTTCTGTTAATGCACACTGATTTTACTCTAAAAATAAGCTTGCTGTAAGTAAAAATTACATATTTCACTTTAACACTAGATAAAATTGACAATAGGATCATACCAGCCACTAGTGCCACCTGATGCTGAAAATAACAAAGTCAAGTTCTTGATTATCTAACCTATTCCATTGTATCCTGAAATACATCCCCAACCAGAGAAATTTTAATAAATATAACAATGAATGTATAAAATTCCTAGATGCAAAATAGAAATTCCTAGCAATGTGAAAAAAATGGATTTTTTTCTTTTAGTAGAAACGCCAAGCTATATAGATTAAAAAGGAAAATCCGCAGGGTTCTTCACAGTGCCCACTCCTAAGAGCCATTTGAGGCCAAGGAAATCTACAAGGCACCTCCTACATTTCTGTACGACACAAAAGGTGGCTAGCCCTGGCTCTTGTACTAAAAAACAAGTATCTAAACCAAGTGCTGGGGTTTCTAAACACAGGGGACATGCTAGTTGGAGCCCAGCGGCTGGAGTCCGGGCTCTGACACCCAGTCACTACCCAGCTGCGGTCCCCGCACAGCTTTCTTACCGATGATGGGATTCTTAGCGGCAGTTGTGTGGGATTTGCACAGCCCCAGGCTGGCTGCCTCGCAGAGGAGCAGGCCCACCACGCACAGCAGGCGACCCAGACTAGCCATCAAGCCGGCCGCCTCCCGCCGCAGTTCAAAGGCACTGCAGCAGTGCGGGATAGCGCCGCGGCGGCCACGGCGGCCTCAGGGCCCCTGGCTCGCGGGGGCGCGGACGGCGCTGCGCCGCGCGGGCCTATGGGAAATGTAGTCCCGGCGCGCACGCGCGGCTGCCGGGGGGCGGACGCGGGCGGCTCTGGGAGCGCGCACGGCGCGCCCGCCCCATGGCTCTGCCCGCGCGTGGCCGCGCTCAGCGCTGCCGGTAGGCCTCCGCCGAGATTTCAGAAACCCTAAGGCGGGCACTGGCTAGTCTCTGCCTGCTTGGAATCTTCCCCCTCAACAGTCCGTCTTCGCGGCTCTGAGACGCGTGTGCGAAGCGCAGCGGCCCGCCCAAGGTCCTCCAGGGTGAGCTGCGGGTCCCCGCCCGGCCCAGTGTGGTAACCAAGCAGCCAGGGAGGCTGGCGAGAGGTTCTAGAAGTCGCCTGAGAACTTTGCTACCTAAAAGGTCAGGGCCTGCTCCTAGGAATGCCGACACGACATTCAATGTAAAGAGAGCCTGTGACCTCGGAGGTGATTGCCACATCTGGCCGCTTATCTGGGGGGACCAGGCGTCTGGAGGAAATGAAGAAGAGGGCAGGACAAAGGACATGAACACGGTCGCTGGTGCCAGCATCGCCTCACCTCAGAAGTGGGTCAAGGAGGGGTGACTCCTGGCATCTGTCTTCGAAGGGGCAAGCCTAGGCCACCCCCGCAAACGATGCCTGGTCCTGATAAACCTCACTGCTGCCACCATAGATTGTCCTACACGTGGGCAGAAATTATGCCTTTGATACCTATTTATCATACGCATTTTGAAGATTTCTAAAYATATGGATATATAGCTTTTAAGAGGTAAAAGTTGCCACCTGAACAGGCCATGTGAAATTTAGATTAAATTTAGGTGGCATTTGAAAACCTTATTGATCATATTGAGGATGAAAAGATGAATTGGACAATGTCTTTGTCACAAGGGGGACTTTTTTCACAATCTAGTAAGGAAAAAAAGAGAACATGACTTGTGGCGTGAACGTGGGCAGAGTTTCATCATATTTCAGGAAGAATTCAATAAGTAGCCTGGTTTAAAAAGAAAATGATGCTACTGTAGAAGGGTGTGGTGAGAGAAAAGTCTTTAAGGGTGTGATGAAAGATACTGTGAAAATGCCAAGCTGGTTTTGAGCATGACTGAATAGACAAGGAGCTTTTGTAAATATGAATTTGTGATGCTGGAACAATTGGCTGTCAAATGAAAAATAAATAAATTATTACCTGGCATTATATACAAAAATAAACTTCAGGTGGATTAAAAAGTAAATGTGAAAGGTAAAATATACCGGGCTGGGGTTGTGACTCATTGGCAGAATGAGTACATGACAGTAGAATGTATTTTGACATATCAAATATGCATGGAGTATAACTTCCCATTCTTATAACAACTCACTTTAAAAAAAAATTTTTTTAATGAGGCACTGGGTTCAATCCTCAGCACCACATAAAAATAAATAAAGTAAAGATATTGTGCCCATGAATACCTTTTAAAAAACTGTAAAAAGAAAATATACCAATATATATTTCTAACCTTGATGTCAAAGGTTTTCATAAAACCTTTTATTAAAAGTTAGAGACAGGAGGTTCCCAAGTTGCAGGCCAGCCTCAGGAACTTAGAGAGTCCCTAAGCAACTTAGTGAAACCCTCGCTCAAAATAAAAAATAAAAAATGCTGGGAATGTAACTCAAAACCTCTGGTTCAACCCCTAATACTCCCCCCCACCCTGCCCCAAAACGTGAGTTAGTAGAAAAAGATTTATTTGAAAATGTTAAATTTAAAAACATCTATGTTGTTTTTATTTTAAACCTATTAAAGAAGGGAAGGCACAAACTTGGAAGATATATTTATAATATGTAGAAAGTGGGAAGAAATATGAAACAAACTAGACTTTGACTAATTATCCAAAGAATGCGCATAAATATGTCACATCCATTAGATTGATAAAAATGTAAGCCTTCAGTAATAAACTCAAGGATATAGTGAAAGGARAATTATTAACTGGTGGAAGAATTGTAGATTATTACATTTATTTTTGAAAGTTATTACATAGCTATTACATATCTTTAATATGTATATATTACCTAATACCCTTAAAGAGTCACATAGTCTGTTAGCTAGCACTTTTCAGATGTAGGTATACCTGCTATGATCTAAATATAATTTGTCCACCAAAGGTTCATGTGTTGGAAACTAAGTCTCAGTCTAATGGTTTTGAGGTGGTGAAACCTTTAAGAAGGAGGCCCTAGTGAAAGGTAATTAGATCATGGCAGCTCAAGCCTCATTGATACATTAATGCTAACTGGAGTGAGTATGATCTAGTAGCAGTGAATCAGTCTTTTTAAGAGTGAATTGTTGGGCTGGGGTTGTAGCATAGTGGTAGAGTGCTTGCCTAGCACATGTGAGCCCTGGGTTGGATCCTCAGCAACACATAAAGATAAATAAATAAAATAAAGGTATTGTATCCATCTACAACTACAAAAATTTTTTAAAGTGAGTTGTTATAAGAATGGGAAGTTATACTCCATGCATATATGATATGTCAAAATACATTCTACTGTCATGTATAATTAAAAAGAAAAAATTTTTAAAAAAATAAAAAAAGTGAGATGTTTTAAAAATAGCAAGCCTAGCTGGGCGTGGTAGCAGACACCTGTAATCCCAGTAGCTCCAGAAGCTGAGACATGCAGATTGCAAATTAAAAGCCAGCCTCAGTAATTTAGCAAGACCCTGTCTCAAAATAAAACATAGAAAAAGGAATGGGGTTATGACTCAGTGATTAAGCAGCCCTCAGTTCAATCTCTGGTACCAAAAAAACAAAACAAAACAAAACAAAAACCAGCAGCCCTGGTCACTTTCCCAGTAGCTTGGCTTCCTGTCTTGCCATGTGATCTTTTTTCTCCCAGTTCTACACACACTCTCACCATTGTGATAGCATCCACCATAAAGCCCCCACCAGAGCACATCAGATGCCAATGTCATGCACTTAAACCTCCAGAGCCATGAGTTAAATAAAATTATTCTTGTAATAAAGTACCTAGCCTTAGGTATTTTGTTATAAATATACCAAACAAACTAAGACAATATTTTARTGAAATATATGCATGTGTGAACAAGGAAATACGTGCAAATATGCTCTTTGTAGCATTTTTGTAACAATGAAATATTAAATACAAATTMAATGATCATCAATGAGAGAATGAATTAATAAATTAGTTAACAGACTATTGGGGTGTGGAAATGAATGAATTGGAAGAACATATTAATAGAGATAAATTTTTATTAAAAAGAGGTAACAGAGGTAAATTATACCTGGGTGTAGAGGATAACTTCAACTGCCTAAACCAGCATTTCTTCTCACATCTTCTTCAGAAAACCATGAGGTGTACGAAACATGATTCATGGCTTCAGCAATACTAGGAGAAAGAGCATACCACAAACATTAAATTGCCAGAAAACTGATAAGTACAGATTTCCAATAGAGTATGCTACACTTCTATAAGACTGAATGTGGAGAGTGAGGAAGCAATACTTTAGAGAAACTTTGAAAAAGAGAAAATGGGAGTAGATGACATAGACTAAACAGAGGCAAAATTGAGCCCTGAAAGAGGATGCCAAATATTACGTGCCAAACACTGGACAATCCTAGATCTTGGTAGGTTACAGCATTGGCTTTAAAGGAAGAGGACCTGAAAGTAAGGCCAGAGGTAAAGCTGTAGATAAGAATTGCTTTTGAGAATGAATCAACTACATTGGCAAAGAAGTGTGCCCCCCTTAAAGACATGGCAGTGAAGGGAAAGAAGATAGTAAGGGGGAAATTTTAAGATCCCGAAGAACCGAGTGTGGTGGCACATGCCTGTAATCCCAGAGACTCTGGAGGCCAAGGCAGGAGGATCTCAAGTTTAAAGCCAGCCTCAGAAAATCAGAGAAGCCCTATCTCAAAACTTAAAAGGGAGTGGGGGATTGTGCTGGGGTTGTGGTTCAATCCTTGGTACCAAAAAAAGAAAAGAAAAAACCCTAAAGGAAAAACAAAAGAAAAATCATGCCAGCCACCCCACCTCACCCCATATACATACTGCCACAACTATAATCTTACACGTTCCAAGAGCAAACTATAAAATTACCTACTAARACAGTTGAACTCAACTATATCAACAGAAGAAAACATTTTTTTTTTACCTAGGAACATCTCCACAATAGGACTATAAAAATAAAGAAGTATTTTTTTAATGCAGAGCTACTTTTCAAAGAAAAGATTTTATAGCAGTTCAATTCACAATGGTTTAACTGTAGAAGCAACCTAGATGCCCTTGAATACATGAATGGATAAAGAAACTGTGGTATATATACACAATGGAATATTACTCAGCACTAAAGGAGAATAAAATTATGGGGGGAGAGGAGAAAGCAAAATAATCACAATTGCAACATTTCATCTAATAAAATTTTGTTCTCACCTAGTAAAACCTAAGACAAAGCTCCAAACTAAAATATCTTCAAACATTAAATGTATGTGGAGTAGTGGTGATGTGTGTGTAAAAACTTGAATCAAAAATTCAAAACCAAAATGGACAAAAACCAGGAAAGATTGCAAGTATTGATCAAACTGGGGAAAAAAATTGAAGGAAACAATAATACATTCTCAAAAACAAAGAATAAATTGCCACTATTAAAGGCAAAAAATATTCAAATGAAAACTTAATAAATATCAATGAGAAAAGAAGCATCCAAGGCAATTTAAATGACATGCAGTTATAAAAGCAAAGTACTGGATAACGGGCAAAGAAAATCCAACGCATGTATTATGATAGGAGAAGAAAACAAAGCAATGGAACAGGACAATCTATAACTATAATTCAAGAATACCATAAATAAAATTGAAAAGTGATAGGTAAAATTATAAACTCTGGGACTTATTCTATTTTAAAATTATAAAATATTAATGAAAATGATAAAAATTACACAGGTCATCAGGCAAAATAATCAATTCACTTAAAGCTATTAGGATAATCTTACACGTTCCA